TGTGTGTGTGTGTGTGTGTGTGTGTGTGTGTATGTATGTGTGTGTGTATCATATTGTATGTTGTCTCTGTATTGTTTTGTATATATGTTATGACTGATAAGTCAACCGACTTAAAGTAATAAAGAACTTGAACTTGAACTTGTTTATTATCCAGGTGAGCGATTCAGGCACCTGGGCCTCCTGTTTCGGGAAAAAGGAGTCAGTTATACACTTTAAGTGTAAATGTAATGCTTCGTCACGAAATGAAATAAATTAATGCAGCTAATTGCGAACAATTTGAATAGGGTTTGGTTCTTTTTCAATAAAAACCATAAAACGCTGATATATAAATCTTTTCATCGATTTATTTGGGTGGTTAAACAGATCTTGCTATGCGAACCAGTATTAACAGAAAAAAAAGTTTCATGGATTTGTTCTTAACTCGTACGGGTATAACTATTCGTCAGGAAAAAAGTGACTATCATTACTCAACGTTTTCTCCTTAGTGTTGTTAGAGAAAGTTATTTGTCAACCGAGCCCAATACCAAACGAACAGTTAGAAACGATTTAAGATGGTTTCCGAATGTTTCATTTCAACAAAATGTACTGTTTAGGGTTAGGGTTAGGGTTAGCCCTAACCCTAACCCTAAAAAATGGATTGGACAACAGGTAAGCCTATATAAATCCTCTCAAAACATTCTTCCGAATGTTTGGCGTGTTCTCTAAATTGGAATATATCTCTTAGTAAATGTTTGCTCCCTGTAATAATTCAACAAGCTTTCATGTTCAAGTAGAATTACAATATTACAATGGCGGAGGATATTTCTGATATGTTTTGGTCACATGCTAAAACAAGATGACTTATGAAAAGCTTGGCAGAGGAAATGGAACTCCTTCAGATAAATCATACTGCAAATTACTTAATAATAGCACATATAACACAATTGTAGCAGCGATAAACAATAACAAGTGTTATACAAAATATTAGTCTAGGATTTATCAAAGTTACATCTGATATTGGGGAAATCCCACACTTACCGACCTAATTCAATATTTTGTGATCAGGTGATATATATATATATGTTTATTAATTGACTCATTCTTTTTTTTTTACGAAACCATGTCCTCTTGATTCCTAATCGAGGCTGTATAAAGCAAAGTTTCGTTGCCAGATCCCATACAAAAACATCCACGTTTACCCTCCCATCCGCAACCCCTGTATCCTAAACCCGCGCCTGAGCTATGTGCTTAAGCTGTGAAACACATTACTACATATTCTAACAGACATACCAATAACTACAAATGTACGACCTATTAGGCCTACTAATGGTCGGAATAATTTGAAATTTCATAATCGATGGTAAGTTTAACAAAAATCTCAAATCTATTTGATACATTTTATAGATGATTCAGTTAAAATAATCTTAGTGAATCAAGATCACTGCTAAGAATGCTTTCATATTGTAAGTTTGTAAAGACAATTTTAAAAACCGATGACTCACTTTGCAGTTAAGTTGTCACATACTGCCTCTGATATCGCAGCAACAGTTGCAAACGTTTTCAATGGGAAAGATTTCACCAACTACAGAAATACAATAGAAAATACTACACAAAACAAAAGGCATACAAAAACACAGAGTAGAATGGTGATCATGTCAACACCTGGAGGGTTGGCTGGAACCACTGGACCTCTTGTAGAGTTAGTGAATGATGTCGCGACACGTTTGCAAAGATTCACAACCCAACACCGTATCTGGTGTCTCAGTTGTAATCGCAAGACATCACGATAGCTTTCCTCCGAGTTGACGACGCCATAATGCCGTCCACATACCTTTTTTAAACAAAAAAACAAGACTTTTGTCAGTGAGGACTCTACATACAGAAAGTCAGCATCTGATCACGCCATCACAGGTAGGTAAATGCACCTAAATACACACGCATGTATTACATTCATTGAAGCACGTCCTTAAATGACTTAAATTAAACCGAAGTCAAATACATATTTTTTATACCAAGAATGCATTGCGTTTGCGTGGACAAGTAAAAAAGGTTCCTGGCATGCGTAAAACATTCATGAATAAATATAAAACTCCCAAAATTGAAGAAAACCATATTGAAAAGTATCAAATATACCCTGCCTCCGGCACACATTCATGCATCCAAAACATACATGGAAGCATGTCCTTAAATTAACCTACAAAACCAAACTAAACTGTAGTTCATTATACTTGCCACGTTCATGAATTTTAGGATAGGGACGTCAATATGCGGTAAAGTTTGGCATATTCGCTTCCTTGTTGGGTCAACTTCATCGCAGTAATTCACACACTGCAGAAATCTATGGCCAGCGCCAACCAGAGCCAACGAGTTCATGAAGTTGATTTTTCTCTCCTCAAACACTTCTGTATGAGATTCGTCGATAACGTCGATCCCTGTCATCACTCCAAAGACAGGAATTTCTAAACAGAATTTTAATCATATTAATTTAGTAAGTTAATAATCAAAAAGTCCTATTTTATCAATTCATGCATTTTCACATCAGCTTTCTGGCTTCCAAAGCGCAATATGGCGTTACTAGGGTAGAACGTATAAACAGACATGAACAAAATGATCGCTTTCCGTCCGTCGTGCGTAGACTTTTTACATTTTCGACATTTTCTCAAGAACCAGTGCATGAAACTTGGTCAGAATTATCCTTGGTAGATGCGGCTACAAAATTGTAAAATTGGGATTCCTACCCCAACCACTGGGGCCAGGGCGGGGCCCCAAATGGAAAATTAACCAATATTTTAAAAAATCCTCTTCTCCAGACTCAGAGGTACTACAGTCATATTCTGTGCATGGATGGAAAGATCGTCAGGCGCTTCATTTTAATTGTAAATTTCAGGACCCCGGGAAATCCGTTTTCCCTCGGGGAGGGGGTAAAGTTTACTATAGTTTATATTGGGAATTAACACTTTTGGGTATATTTTGACATTTTTCAGTAGGAAATTATTCTTACTTGGTGAGAATTATCCTTGGAGGAAGATGGCATCAAAATGTAAAATTAGGATTCCTACCCAAACGCCAGGGGCCAGGGCGGAGCCCCAAAGGGAAAATTAACCAATATTTTAAAAATCCTCTTCTCCAGACTCAGAGGTACTACAGTCATATTCTGTGCATGGATGGAAAGATCGTCAGGCGCTTCATTTAAATTGTAAATTTCAGGACCCCGGGAAATCCGTTTTCCCTTGAGGATGGGGTAAAGTTTACTATAGTTTATATCGGGAATTAACACTTTTGGGTATATTTTGAAAAACTTCTGTAGGAAATTATTCTTACTTGGTGAGAATTATTCTTGGAGGTTAAATGGCATCAAAATGTAAAATTAGGATTCCTTTCCCAACCCGAGGGGCCAGGGCGGGGCCCTAAATGAAAAATTAACCAATATTTTTAAAATTCCTATCCTTTGATGACATGACAAGTATTGTATTTCACTTAGTTTACATGTTGATTTCAACATCACATCTCAACAATGAAATTGAGCTACCACTACCTTTAATATAATGCAGGTGACCGCTAATGCCCATGTGCCTCTTGTTTGAGGTGTTGCCAAGCAATGCGCTTGGTAATAAAAAGTAAATAGATTTAGAAAGAAAGATAAAGTTCCCAAATGTTGCAATGGGTCGCTTTTGTGTCCCCTAGTAGAGGGCACAAAGGCAATTCTCCAACTCTGCCGGGGTTCCACAAAGTTGTCGCCTCTTACGAAACTTGCAATGGGAAACTTTTCTCGATCCCCGACCTGCAGGGGTGTACAGAGAGAGGCGCCGAAACCAGATGGTCTTTAACCGTCTCCGGATGGGTCATTCATACATAACCCAAAGTTATTTACCGACGCATGAAGACCAGCCTCAATGCATAGCGTGTCAGGAACCATTTACAGTATAAGATTTTATATAAGATTTTGGCGACCTTCTTTCAACTCGAGAACATTTCTGTAATAACGTCTTAAATATTTTTTGAAAAAAACACCTGTCCGTACACTATTAGGCCAACTGAAAGCTGTTTGTCTTTTAAATAAAATATGAGTCATCATAGCCACTTTCATTATTCAATTAACGTTAGTCTTTTACCTCAAATTTATTTTGATGTTTATATTTTGCTATTATTTTTGTTGACAATTTGTTAGCCCTAATTACTTAGCCTGTGTTAATAGGCCGTAAAGGAAACGCCCCTGTTTCACAGCATCCATTTACATACAATTAAGCCTTCTTTGCTAAAGGATCGATCTAGACTAACTTAGTTGAAATGCCTTCTTACCGAAGAAGGAATTCAGAGATTCAAAGTGAACCAGTTGTTGCCATTCCCCTAAATGCTGAACGCTAAGCAGGGAATAACAACTACAAATTTTAAGGACTTTGGTATGTCCCGGCCTGACTCGATTAACGTTAGACGACCGCCAGAATCAAACATGTATAAAAAATATATTTTGCCAAAGGATACTCCAAGCCAGATTTATTAAAAACGCACTAAGCTGTTCATCACAAGTAGTATTCTAAAAGAAAAATTGAAGGACGGACCACGGTGGGGTGACAAAATGAAAACGAAACCGATGATATGGCCTGGAGATTTTTTTTATAACTCTCATGTATAAAGATAGAAAGACAAATAAACGAATTAGAATGGTAGCGTGCATTTAAAAGTTTTTTTGTTTTTTTTATAAAATGACTGGAATCGGGAAAAAATATCCTTTCACCCTTTCACCCCTGTAACTTTAGTAAACTCTACCATGCATTGATATGGATGAGTCTATGTTGGTCTATAGCGGCGAAAGGGTTAAACTAAAGCGCTAATTTACTCACCTCTATTGTAGACGTCGTCCGTGGGCCGGACTACCTCCATAACACCATTGAAAAGCCCTTCCGGCACCTCCTCGTTCGCCGAGGCCACTATAACCACACGATCAACCTTGAAATGGTTTTCTGTGCATAACACGCCATACCATAAACGCAGTGCCCAGACACCGAAGGTCTTTCCAAATCTGTAAACTGAGTTTAAGTTACTTGCGTTCCTTAATTTACCGTAAAATATCAGTCGGAGAACCTCCTTTGTGATTTCTTCGTCTTGGTTTTCAAACCCCGTCAGGTCAATCAGAGTTGGCAGGGAATAGTCCCTTACACTAGGCGACGTTCCATAGTTGGTAGCTACAACACTACAGACAAAATAAAGAAAAAAACATTACTGGGGTGGCGTCCATCGTTCGTCTGTCAACTTTCACAAAACAAAAAATACTATTTCAAAAATTGTGCATGGATTGTTTACCATATATGGCACTCACTGATCAGCATTTTGTACTGCATGAAGAAACCAATATAAACTGATGTCAAAGCATGGGAAGCAAAATGGCATTTCGTTCATTCGAATATCATTGAAGACAAAATTTCAGTCAAGATACTTTTAACAATTACACATCAATACAAGAATAAGTGACTCTTTCCTCATTTTGTACTTTGTGAATGATGCAAGTTGACTAATAGAATCTGCAACTCGAGGGGTGATGTTTTTTAGTTGTCTAACCCTCGGTTTAGACAACCAAAACAATCACCCCGAGGGTTGGAGATTTCTCTGCTACACCTTCAAGGTGGGGATGATTTTTGTTCTCTCATCCTATTATTTCAGTCACATCTCCACCGACAGTAGTCTGCCATGTTTGTAAACAAAACCACATTTGGGGTATGCATATCGTTATTTACTTCTTTTGATGACGTCACAATTACCGATGACGCATTTTAATGACGTCACAATTGAACACGTGTTAATCGGCACGAGGATATCTCCCCCTAGGGGGTGACAAGCTGATCTTTCCTGGCTAAAACGGGAGACACACTTGTGAAGGGTGGGATAAATAACAATCTGACCTATTGTCTACTGTATTTATTCGTACAATGTGCATCTTACCACTGATAATTAAGCTGTAACACTTTTGATAAATTCCGGCACACATGGAGGCACTTCCTTTAATTACCGTAGCTGTTGATAGGACATTTAACCCTGAACAACAACACCTACTAAGCATATTTTTTTTTNGCACCCATTGCAACATTTGGGAACTTTATCTTTTTTTCTACATCTATTTACCTCACTTCTTGCTTTAATGTTGAGCATTCGCCCAGGTGAGGAAGGCAATGGGTTCTGTATCCAGACCGAGAAATACAAAAGTCCTTCAAAATGTAAGTTGTTATCCCTGATTAACATTCAGCATTAGGGGCAATTGGTAACAACTGGTTCACCCGTTGTCAGTATAATGTGAACGGTGAAATAGCACTATCAAGTCGACATCAGATCTGCGCGATCACAAGGAAGCAAGAACAGACAACATACCATATCTCCTGCATACACACACGCAAGCACACATACGCTACACACATGGAGGCACGTCCTAAAATGACCTTAGCTGTTAATAGAACGTTAAAAAATTAAACCAAACCAAAACCAAACGTCCGGGGACGTGTTATGGTCTGGGAATCGTCCGTCCGTTCTGGTTTTCGCAAGATAAATTGCGTACAATACCTGCAAGTCTGGGAAAGAATACACTTGTCCACCACTGCATGATCGTACGAGGCGATTGATGTCGGAACCCCCTGCATAATTGGGTATTCGCTTTTGTGAACTGTACCTTAGGACACAAAAGCAACCAAAATTAATCTGCTGCACCCATTGCGATATTTGGGATCTCTATGTTTCTTTCTTTCTAACTGTGAAGCTCCATATTTGAGACCCTTCTCCTTTAGCATCAGATATAAGAGATCTTAACCTTAGTTTGTGTAGATCAACATTTCAACAGGAGGACTAAACTTGCCTGAATGAAGATTTGCCCCCCTTTAGCGCTTGTTATTTATAGAAAAAATATGGACCTTTGAATTCTGACAGTATTCTGGTGAGTCACTCCACCTCCCCGCCTTCCACTGCAGGCGTATTCTCGCCAGCATTCATCTGCAACGGAGGCTGCGAAAGAATTTATGAAGGAGGATTTTCCACATCCGGGAGCCCCGACGAAGACTATATTAAGGGGTGGACTTCCGTTCCCAATTCCACTGGGTCCAACTGTTTCCTTTAGCTGAGCTATCAGGTCCGTTCGCTCTTGCAGAATAGCGTCTTCCGTCTCGCGCGCACTCGGTACAACTGTTTCCTTCGGCTGATCTATCATTTGCGTTCGTTCTTGCAGAATAGTGTCTTCCATTTTGGCGCGGAGGGCAATATTTCTGCAACATGAAAATTCGTATGCTTAAGATCACGGGGTCATAAATGCAGTTGTAAGTGGGAACTATATACATTCCATTGGTTTGCTCGGGTGCGAAATGTTGACTTTATTAAAAGATGTTTTAAAAGGGCAAGGTTTCTTCGACTCGAGCACCTGTGTTATAGATATGAATGTTATCTTGTGAGAAATCATGATTCTGCTAGCAGAAACTCCTCTTATGAAATCTTCTTGAAAAAGCGAGTTTAACCGTAAGTTATTCGGGTAATATACATTCGACTGTAAGTATAATGCTTACAGTAATATAAGGTCTTGTTGAAATCTTCATATTATCGAAGCTATACATTTTTATCGATTTCACGACGTTTTCAGTTTGTAGATTTTTTACGCGATTACTCTATCACTAATTACTATGATTTGTTTGGTTTTATTTTGTTTAACGTCCTATCAACAGCCAAGGTCATTTCTGGACCGGCCTCGATGTGTGTTGTGTATGTGTACTTACACCAACCTACCCTGTCTCCTTGGCTCACGTGCTTTAATGACCTTAGCTTATGATAGGACATTACACTCTGTACGACCAACTCTACAAAAGATGTTAAAAACCCTCCAATCCACTGGAGAATGATTTTAAGTATTTATTCGCATGCTCCCAAGCGGGTTTCGTTTAGTTTTATCGGGTTGAAAGTCCTATCAACAACTAACGCCGTGCTTGCGATAAGCGTCACTGCTGAACGTTAAGCAGGGCATTTAACTTTGCCATTGCCTTTCCCACTTGGGCAAATGTTCAATACTAAGACCAAAACACAAAACAAAAACAAAAATAATCTACTTTCGCCACCACGATTGTTGAATACCAGGTTATATTTCTTAGATATGTATTTCTAGTCTAGCTCCCGTAAAAACTGCTGCCCTGATCCAACTGTCGGCTAAGGTCGTGAATTTCCTTCTGTTGCCTTGATATTGTTTCTTTCATCGGATCACGGTGGGGTCATTTAGCCTCTATCATGTCATTTTTTTCAATTTTACCTGGCTTTCGGTTGATCTCACTGTCATTTCCAACTACATTTGAACCTCGTTATCTGGAACTCGTATAACTCGAAGACCCCGTTTAATTCGAAGTATTTCACCGGTCCCGGCCAAAACGCTTTTTGAATCTAAGTTATAAAAATTCTGATAATTCCGAGAATGAAAACTCGAAAAACTTTATCCCAAAGAGAAAAATGGTCCAAACGTCGTAAGTCTTACTTTTAAATATCGCATATTTCGAAGTTTCTAATGATTCGCAAATCTTTTATTTATTAGTTTATACATATATGTCGCATGTAGAAATAAACACATACAACTGTGTATCATGTCCATTTTCCATTTATTCGTTGTCCATGTCACAAAGGCATTTGTCTAAAATGTATTGGTACAAACATTCAGTTTTCTCGCCATGTATAAAGCCATGAGAAAATAATCTAAGATTGATTACCGAATAACATTTTGACAATAATTCTCAATAAATGGCTTCATAATTATCACACTCATACAGCTGTAATTGTTCATTTACAATTGGTGCACACTATAGATTACGTGTCGATATTGCCATCGGTTACACTGAAGGACAGTATGTTGTAATACGACAAGTTAACAGTTATCACAAATAATTCATTCACTATGAACAGTATAACTCACCCTAAGGATTACACTACTTGTCATGCGTAAATAGGCTCCACAGTTAAGATCACAACCTAGGACTGGTTCGTCGGTTCGTGTTTTTACAGGAACTTGTACGGCACTCATAATTAAACGAGGGATTATAGGAACATCTATAAATGTTGATATGTTTCTTGGTTAACAAATTGGCGTGTACTCGTTAAAAACATCACATACGTGTACGCTACAATACAGTGATCTGTGTAAATCCTGCAAACTTTCATTTCCGATTTGAAAAGTTTTACACTAGAAGTTCTTTCTGTTTTTATTTGTGTTAATTGTGACGTTAATTAATGAATATAAATACGAATCAATTGCTTTTTTTTTTCGTAAATATCTTTTTTGTCATTCATTGACTGTTTTAAGTAGGGCTGTAACGATACACCTATGCCACGATACGATACGCTTCACGATATCTACCCACGATACGATACATTTTGATACGATACAGGATGACGAAATGTTATGCTTCCTCTTCAAATGCGTCGCCATGTTTGATGTGTTCCCTGACTTGTAACTTAAATCTACGAAACATATGCGGCAAGTGGAGAGTGATTTTCCATCGGGGACATTTAGCAGGAATCCAAAATACTGCCAAACAGGCGAGCGAAAGGAAGCAGGAGGTTTTTTTTAACCCTTTATGCTGCTACATTGATTTCTATGTAAAGGGACACCACTGCTGAATTAATTATTGAAATATGAATTAATTTACTTGATTTTTCAAATGTGCATAACTTGAAAAATATGTTATATGTGAATAAAAGTGATAGGAAAATTGTTCGTTATTGTCTCTAGTTTACATTAACGTTTTCAATTCTAAAGTTGCTTCAGTATTTACCTGTACAGGTGGTAATAAAGGTAAGAAATGGTGAAACTTTCAATTAATCGGATTTAAGCACCAGAAAGATCATTTAAAAAAAAAAAAAATCAGCAAATGTGATTGGCAAATGATATCAGAGATAATAAACTTCATTTATGACATAGGACGCTGTACATTTACACGGCGATTATCAGGTAAAAAGATCAGGTATTTCATCAAGAATTGCATGTGATTTGCTACAGGTTTCAAGTCGTCATTCGATATATTTACTGTCACAGTCGGCATATAGTATAGATATTAGCTGCGGTCTAGTTTATGATTAAATCATCGATATATATAATATAGTTTGAAGAAATCAATCGGCTCAAAACTTATCAATGTTAATGTTCAATTCGGCTTCACCTGCAGACGACATGTGCAACGCCTCGGTCCGCCGATATTTACCTGTTTGCGTAGGGCACAAATCTGTTCATTGGAAAGTTACATATTATGTTACACCGAAGTATTTCAACATCAACCATGTCAAACCCTTCAAAATCTTTATTATCATCGTAGGTGACGCTGGAGGATAAATGTTTACGTTACACATGTATGGTTAAATTCCGGAAGTCAGGTAATACTAAAAACCGAACCGAACCGAAACACGGAAAAAAATACCGTAAACCGAATCAAAGCAATTCAGCGCGGTTTTCGGTGCACCGCGGTGTATCGTTACAGCCCTAGTTTTAATATGTTGACTTTACAGATACAAGTTACAAGAACTTTTATTTAGAGTCGTATATGTTGTAATGGGAACATTAGCTCTGTAGCGCTATTATTACGACAAACAAAGGTATAAAAACAGGATATATAAGACAACATGCAGAAAACAAACAGGCATATAGCAAGGTTTATACACACACAGACAAGAAATTCACAGCATGCAGTAATTAAAAACTTGGCACGTACAGAACAAAGTATAAATAAAAATCTATATTAAATTGATGCTGCACAAAAGATTCATGCCACATGCTCACAAATTGAGAAACTATGATTCAGTATTTACATAAATGCCAATATGGCTTGAGTTAAGAATTGACCGAATATATGCTAATATAGCATAAATTAAAAGATGACTTGACAAGCATTGAGTAAGTCATACAATGCGTAAATCAGAACTCTCGATCTCCAGGTTCCTAGTCGGACGCTCTACCACTGAGCTTAAGGAAAATTAACTCTAGCTCGAAGCTAGAAGGCAACCTTAATCTTATGTTCAATTGAACCCTGCCACATAAATAAACTTTAACCTTAAAAGGGAATTGCATATCGGGGTAATTGTAAATGCTGCATAGATATTAACTTTAAAAAAATGTTCAGTGTTGCAAACTAAATATATTTGTCATTATATTAGAGCAATTAAAGGTTATTTATTTGATTTGAATTATTCTGTTAGAAATATATAACCATTCACAATTGTATAATTTACTACAGAATTAAGTCTGTGAATTTACTAAATTTTGACATGGACTTGTCTATGAAGCAGTTGATATTGATGACAGCACGTTTTTGTTGGGTTTGAAAGTATGTATGATTTTGATTCAATTGAACATTCTTATCAAAAAATCCTGTTTCATTGGTATGGAAAAAAAACACATAATAGTTTACTCTGATTGACTCTAAAAATAACTTGTTAGGTGGAGGAAGTTGGTTCATATTCTTCTCTTTTCTTTGACCTATGGTAATCTTGCCCCAAAAGCCACTTCAAACTCTTCTCCAAACTTAAGTTAAAACGTATATATAAGAATAAGACATGCACAGTACAGGTGATAAAGAATAAATTGTAATCGGGGTGGTGGTGGGGTGAGATTGTCAATAATATAGGAGGTGAGAGATTGTTAAGTTACTAGCAACATTTAACCTACATAGATGTATGAATACATTATCTTATGATACAATTCCTTTTGCTTATTTTTTCTCACTTTTGTCTTAAATGTGTGTATTGGAGTGTGGAAGAAAAGCTCTACGCTCTGTCAATATTAGACTCGCATTTAGTTTATGTGATTATTTTCTGGACTTGAGCAAGTCTAATTGTTCTTCTTGTGCAGGCCCTTAAAATGTTTCTCGCACTGTCCCAGTCTACATCAATATTGACGGCGTCATTAATATGTTCTTGAACATATATTTAATTTATGCAGTAATGAATATAAGAACCTTAAAAATACAATAGTCAAAACGTAAACAAATAACGACATTGCGTCCGTACGGTGATCCGGATGCGGTTGGGGAGCGGTCCGTGTATATTTAAGACGATCGCAGCGCAGCTTGTCGTCATAATGAGGAAACCTCTCGTATTTCAACTGCTGGCTTACTCGTTTACTAGTTGACTAGCTAGCTATTTCTGAATTAAAAGTTTGTTTCGAATTTCTGTTTTTACAAAAATGACGAAAGCTTCAGATCTACTGAGTATATATATATATACATCACGTAAATCTGGAATGGATTTAATACTACAAGCTAACACGAAATCGCGATCGGTAAAACTAGCATGGCATGGAATGAAAACTAGCATAGCATGGAACGATTACGCGATAGATTTGTAAACGAGTGCATCAACACAAATGAACATAGAATGGAAAAAGACACTTATCAACTAGGGAATTAATACAAATGAACATAGAATTAGATTCCAAACCAGAAGTAACTAATTCTATAACTTATCAACTAGGGAAATAATACAAATGTACATAGAATTAGATTCAAAACCAGAAGTAACTAATTATATAACTTATCAACTAGGGAAATAATACAAATGTACATAGAATTAGATTCATAACCAGAAGTAACTAATTATATAAAAAATAATTATGGCGGTGATCCCCTTCCATACATAATGTCCAAGGCTTTCATCTAATATAAACACAATATGAACTCACTACCGTTCTTTGTTTACAATTTTCTCTCCCGTACTCTCCTCCATAGTCTAGCTAGGAACACATTGTCGTATTCTAGGTTTATACACTGTAGTTGTCATTGTTTACCTTACAAGTATCTCCATAAAACCATGGACTTAGATAACATCTAATCTAATTCCGTGATAAAATACTGACACTATACGTTCAAGGAATATTTTTCTTTCTAACATTAACACCCCTTGAATCAGTTTGTAATTTTTGTTTTTAAAAACCTTTTTGACTAAACAATTATTCTTTTTTGGATAAAATAAACATACTTTTTTTAATTCTTGAAATAAACTCTCCCACAAATCTGGAAGTGGAACGAGAGAGTTTATATCTCGTTAAAAGTACCGACCAGGACACTAAAGGGTATTACCCGCCTGGTAAATTTTATACCTCAAACCCTTTGGGTATGAGGAAAACTTTTTTCTTTTATAATATAAAACATATATATATGGTAACTGTTCCCGTGGCAGGGAAACAGTTATATAAACCTTTACTGTACTGTAAAGTAATATAACTATGTAATGATCACAACTGATCTCTTCTTTTTCTTTTTTTCTCTTGTTTTTTTTTTTTTGCATCTACAGTAATTATTTTTCATTTTTTAAATCACTATTGTGAAACTACTTCATCCCCCACCATCACCCATCAAACTACCTTTCATCTCATCTTTTAATTCAAGTAATAGAATTTCCTCTGTCGACACACTGACAGAATCAGGAAATAATCTATAAGCAGATATAAAGGCTAGAGAACAGGGCTTGTCCAGCTAGCAGAAATTATATATATATGACATTGTTTACAAATATCATCTTTTAACCTTTTAACTTTTTAAATTACTCAATAATATACGTAATTAATTACGTAAATTCTAAACATAATGGTACCCTCAGACATTACTTATCCTCTATAAGTATGTTTAAATAAACAACTTTGACGGCAAAATAATACTAATATATATCTCCTATTTATAAACATATATACATATATATATATTTACCAATTATGAAACTTTTACACCCCTCTCAAAAGTTTTTTCTTTCTATCTCTTTCTAACTGCCAATTTATACATTTTACTAAATCATATATTTACCTAACAGCAATATAATTCTTTATTTTACTATTTAAATGCACACTCACTAGAATAAAAGTAAAAACTCGCATACACCGTAGGGACCCCCCGGATAATCTCAGCCTCTGGCCAAGCCCGGTAAAAGAAACAATGCACTGTACCTCACGGAAGCAGAGACGTTTCTCTACTGCCGGGTGTAACTGGTTGTCTGAGACCCGGGGTACATAACAAACACAACATATACCTCCCTATTAGAACATTAAAATACACAATAATTGCACTTTCAAATAATACACACAAAAAAACAAAAACAAAAAAAACATTTTCCTGAAATTTTATTTTACAATACTATCGAATAATTTGTATACCTTATTACTATTATAAGCCTTCTTGGCCCCTTTCGATCGCCCTCCCACGAAACAAAAACATTAGTGAGGAACAACAAACCCAGATGCAGCGACTGGTGAAGATGGGCCACGCCGAAATCGCCAAAAAACCACCTTTAACCACCGAACGACACAATTCTCTCTTTCAAGTAAATCAACAAGTAAACCTGTAAACATCATCAAGCGTTTCGCAATCGTTGGACACAGTTGCATTGCCAGGATGGCTGGAAACCCTCTCCTGCAATCAGACGATGTCCATCTGCTAGGATTCCGTGGGGCAACAACAAGGACACTTCTACTATCGAAGGAGATCCGTGATCTTGATGTCGGCCGGGTTTTCCTACAGATTGGAGGAAACGACATCGGCCCACATCAGCTTTGAAGAGAAAGGATGCCAGGTGGTAGTTGGTAAACCTTTTCCAGCGATACAGACCGCGGCACATGTCACCAGAAACATATGAACTTCAAAGAACCAGAATAAACAAGCGTCTATGCCAACTATTCCAAACAGAAAGTAACGTCACATTTTGGAAACTGCGCGGTTTACAACAACTCACAGCTACTGCCTTCAAGGACGGCGTCCACCTTACACAGACTTTGGAGACCCGGTACTCCAGACAACTAAAGCTAGCCCTGTTCTGCAGTCAGATGAATTAGGCATCTTCTCAGATTAAAACGGCCCTTTTTAGGGCCAAACAATTTTCCAAAAAAGTGTCATTGAATGTCTCGAAAACACGCTTCCCCAACCCAACAATATAAAATGGCCATACAAATTTAAGATAGTCTTTGAAAAGTCTCTTGCAATGACGTGACTAATCGTAATAAATGATTTACAATTATATTGTTAATATTTATTGACATATGTACTCCCTACAATCTGAATACGTATATACGTTTTACAGTGTATAGAAGGAATAGAAAGCACGCCCCTCTTGTCTTTAGTCATAAATTATTACCTGATGAAATAAGCCATCAAACAATTAGGGTTACTTTTGAAGTCTAAAGGTACATGGGGGGGATTATATTCATGTTATTTTTAGTAAAACTTGTATTAGACTCAACATATTGAGAATGCTTAAAAATATAAAATCGATAGTAAATAATTGGAAACGTTATTTTATTGTTATATAAGACCTGTGCTTTGGTATGGTGATATTATCTGTAATTACTGAACCATTTGATAGCTACGGAAACTATATCGGGGTTAAAAAGTGGGACATCTCATCTATATACTATATCTTGAGGTAAATATGGAAAAATTAAATTAAAGACGTCATAAACATAAATAAATTCTAATGTATAAGATCTTTAATCTTTGATCATTAAACAGTGCAATCCTAGTAATCTTAATATAATACTTTGTCAAATCAGGCACAAAGCAAGTGACTTAAACTTCTATAAATTTACCGACAATCTTATTCAAGATGGCAGTTATTCTTGTTTCTTTTTCTGCCCGAATTGTTCTTATTTCAGGCTTGATTTCTGTGAAATATGTCAAGAATCTCAATAAGTAATTAATTATCAACAATTTTGTAAATATACCTTATTATTCAGTGTAAATGTATATATGTTGTACCGGTTCAGGAGAAGACTTGTATAGGCACTGCCTGTTGTCTAATCCTTTTGTTAACACAATAACATTTGTTGAAACCAAACAATATACGTTGATGGTCGTAGGTGTATTATACAGCAACAGACATTTTATTACACATTGTTGTAAGTACTATGAATATAAATATATCACGAAATTAACAAGTATTACAAAATTAAATACCTTTAGTAACGGCTATCAAAATAGGCAGAGAATGCTTTGGAAGGGAAGTAACTCGTATATAACTACATGTACAACTCTTAGCTGTTATCGTAGGCATATAATTAACGATAAATTTCGATACATTCTACTGTTATGATCGACCTGACATTTTGCACAAAGTTAGGTAAGTTGAACATATTTATGAATCCGAAGACAGATGTAAAAAATATCGATTAACGAATTCCCGGGCGCGCGAACACCTCCCTGGACACTCATTCCTCCGTGGACACTCAATCCACCCTCGTGAAAATAGTATTTATCGACGTATTTCGGTACTTTATACTGTTATGGTCAACCTGATATTTTGCACACACTTAGGTAAGTTAAAAATATTTATGAATCCGAAGACAGAAGTAAAATAAATGGATTAACGAATTCTCGGGCTCGCGAACACTTACCTGGACACTCATTCCTCCGTGGACACTCAATCCAACCTCGTGAAAATAGTATTTACCGACGTATTTCGGTACTTTNTGTTCGTTCATAAAATAAGGACGGACTCAGTAATCTAATGCTGCTTTCAGGCAAATATTGACAAAGCATTGCTAGTTCTGAATTAACAGATGCAGGTCCGCCTGGATTTATACCAGAAAGAACTTGCATTTAAAAACAGATAAAAACGGTTTGACCGGAACCGCGAAAGGGAGGGCGCCTGGTGAACGAGATAACCGAGCGAGATGTCTTTTTACCAGGAATCGGGAGCTATAAATCTACTTTCGTTTTCACAATGACCTTACCTTTTTGACTAACTGTAATCATAAGAGGATGGTAACGGGTACATGTGGCTTTTTTCATGAAGACAGATTTGCTTATTGACAGTTATGTCAGTATCTATTTCACCCAGGTTCGATAAAGAAAAGGTTTGGGTTGATTTATTTAGCGTCCTATTATCAGCTAAGGCAAGATAAGGCAATGCCCTTATGTGTGTAATGTATGCGTGCATATACGTGTATGTGCTGGAGGGGGTAAAATACAATAGGATGTACTATAGAGTTTAAACACTAATACATCTCCTTGACAAATAACTGAGGTATCAATTCCAAAATAGGTGTGCTCTTGGTATAATGTATACCATCCCGTCAACCTTTTCCCTACTTACTAATTAGTGTTATTTTGTACCTAATGCCCAACCCCGTTATCAATTTAATAAACTTAATGAAAGAATGTATTTCTGAGCCAGCATCCGGCGCACATACACACATGCACTCTTACACAACACACATTGAGGCACGATCTTAACTGACATTATAATTAGCTGTTAATATGATCTTTAACAAAATAAAGCCAAAACCAAACTGTATTACCCCGATGGGCATTTGTTTTGATAGGGCTACCTGTTTTCTTGAAATAGTGTCTGGGTTCCGACAGATACATTCGCCTGCAAGATTTACCTTTTGAAATTCCGTACATTGTACAAACATTATCTATATGAGTTATTTGCATTTAAAAGTATTTATATTCTCTAAACATAAAAATAGCTAATCAATATTTTATATTTAATATCTAAAATCGTACATGTATTAATTGTGCTGACCTTGTAATGTTTACACATGAAAAAAAAGGAAGAGGGAGAGATAGGTGGAGGGTGAGAGGGGAAGGAGAGGGAGAGGTAAGGGGGTTAGAGAGTCCGATTTTTTAAGATTACTGCATAAGTACTGCAACAAGACAGTAAATTTAAGAAAATAAATATCAGACCACGTGGTTGTTCTTTCTCCATGCGAACGGACTAGTTATACTATTCGCTGTTCACAACTTTCTTCTGATCAAATGTTTATCACTTCCCGTGCTATTTAACTTCCGCCTGTTAAATTTTCCTTCAATGTCCCCCTCGGCAGAACACAGAAAAAAGCCCCATTCTGGAAGGGGCCAACATTTGTCGTGATTACGTGCAATGGCTTATAAAGCGGGCCTACTATATCCCCAAATCTACGGGGAATGTCATATTATTAAAAAAATGTATAAATGTATGATAAAGCAAATAGACAATGAACACTCGGTCTGTAAACTAACAATGAATTATCGTGATTTAGAACAATACGCTTGGGAGATATATTGTTACGGTCTTCGCCCCTGGCTCAACCCTTTACATAGAGAGCACGGCTATTTTTAACTGTCACTAAATGCTTAGTATGACAAGCCCCCGGGAAATTATATGGTATTTCCAAACCAAGTACCTAATGACTGACTAGATCTAAGTAACTGATGAAGAACTAGAAAACATCGGATAAGTGTTAGCACACCTATACGGTTACCGTTTATTAAGGAAACCCATTATCAAATTATACAGAGGCAGATACAACAATTCTACAGACTCTCTCCAAATTCTCTCATAAATATGATTTACAATAAAGGTAGACCTATGTCTGAACCCTGGATACCAAAACTATCTGATATATGTAGGAGACAAATCAAGTCTATTTATCCCTACTGTAGTTTTGGTAATAACAGAAATGAACCAAGTGCCAATGAATATCAATAGAAATTGCAATCTGCAATGAATACTACAAAATACCAACTCGATATGAAATATAGTAGGATTAGCAAATGGATAAAATATATATCTATAATTATTCTGATCACTAAGCTCTATACATGATTAAAGTCAAACTCAACTGTCTGAAACAGTTAAATTATCTTTGTAAATGTCAGAGTTTCAATGTTTATTTGTTATATTTTGTGAGATGTCATTTTTTGAATCGTTTATAGACTATTATGGGTATGAGTTGTATACAGGTTTGCTTAATTTGAATTTCCCGCTAATCTTTTACTTGAAAGTATCTGTTGCGCATGTGCGAGTGGGTATGCATCTTTCCGGTAGAGAACCATGCTGTTTTTACCGCAACGAACGATGTCAACGAAAAACGAAAACGATTTTAGCTACTTGGTCAGGAGAACAAGGTATTAATCATGAACATTGAATTGTTATTAACGTGTGAGCATGTGTATTCCTTGACAATTTGGTGAAAGGTCATCATTTTTCTCTACCGGTAGCTTCGGTTTTTCCCCATATAACGCTGTAAATCAGATTTGTAGCCCTCCGGCATCGTATGGTATTACCGGTATTTTTATACACATTTACATGCAAAATGTCAGATAAACAGATTGTATAGTTATTCAAACCAATAAGTAGTTGAGATCAGTTATAGCTAAGTGTCTAATAGAGATTTCTCAGTGTAAATCATTTTAAACAATTCATAAAATATGTGTTGTAAACTTTTCACTAGAGTTATCTCCCTTGTCCCATGAAACGTCTCGGTTACATTTTTGAGTGTATTTTTGCTGTTGCTTAGTTTTGATATGAGGTTGGAGAATTTGTATCTGCAAAAGAATAGGATTTAATTGTGAAATTATTTTACTGTAATAATTTCATTGATCAATTACATAATACAATTTGATATTATTCAACCTAGATATATGCATGTCAAGTACCAAGTAATTATCCAATATAAGGTCATTGATATTTGGTCAACTTTCTTTATAATGCCATTCGTTATAACGACACATTCTTTATA